ACCAATGTTTCCTGAAATTATCCTCCAAAAAAATTCTTTGTATTCAATTTCTTTTCTTAGACCCCAATCAACACAACGACTAACACAGCAATTAACATTATCTGTCCCATGGTGATGCTTGGTGGAGCTGAGACCACTCCTGTTAGCATGAGCCTTGATGTACCAGGGATTGGGGGGACACAAGGCACAGCAGGCCCCACTGCTGGCCCACAAGAGGTGTCACATGGAAAGGAGCCTTCTCTTTTTTTCTGGCACTGTTCAGGGAGCCTCAAAAGAGGTGGTGTGTGAGCATCCAGCAAGCAGTAAACAGCCTGCTAGAAGAGAGTGTTCCAGATGTAAGGACAGTGGTTGCAAAGTACAAGCTCCCCTGAACTTTTTATTTTCTTACAGATGTGATCCCCTTCCTCTTTGACCTATAACTATATGAAGCAAGAGTCATTGGCTGTGCTTTATTAAAGTTCCTGACAGCAAAAAAAAAAGAAAAGAAAAGAAAAGAAAAAACCCCACATTAACTGAGTGAGATGAGAGGTTAAATTGGATGTTGGATCTATGGGTACTGGCTAGAGACAGAAAGTAGCAAGTCATGAGCACATAAGAAATGACTGAAGCTCTAAGTACAAAGAAGAATACCTTAAGAAAACATAGGCAGGGCTGGGGATTTAGCTCAGTGGTTTCGCCGCCTGCTGCGCAAGCGCAAGGACCCGAGTTCGATGCCCAGTACCAAAAAAAAAAAAAGAAAACATAGGCAGAGATTATGGTTTGGATACTAGAGGTCCCTCAAAGGCTCAAGGGTTGAAGGCTTGGTCACCAGCTGAGGGCACCATTGGAAAGTGGTGATAAGTTTGGGAGGCAAGGCTTACAGTTGGAGGGTCATTGGGGGCATGCCCTTGAAAGGAATATTGGGTCCCCCGCCCATGCGTCTCTCTTTTCTTCCTGCTGCCATGAAGGGAGCAGCTTTGCTCCACCACACACTCCCTGCTGTGATGTTCTGCCTTGCCACTAGCCCAAAGAGATAGGGCCAAGTGACCATGGACTGAAATCTCTGGAACCATAGGCCAAGACCAACCTTTCCTCCTTACACATTAATTACTCACAGTGACAGAAAACTTCAAGAACTGAGTTCTTAGGCCAAGATCTGAAGAAGCCCAACATTCAGTGGCTGAGAAGAGAGGATTAACCTGCAAAGGTGGCTGAGTGGCCAGAGAACCATGAGGGTGCTGTTGTAGTCTGGATCCTAAGTGTCTCTCAAAGATCCATATGGTAAAGACTTGGTCCCCTGAGTGGTAATGGAAGGTGGTAAAAACTCTGGAAAGTGGAGCTTAGAGGGAGGTCTTTAGTTCCTTGGGGTGTGCTCTTGAGGAGGATGGTGGGGTCCTAGTCTCTTCCTCTCTCTCTTTTGCTTCAGGCCAGGAGGTAAGTGATTTTTGTACTGCCTTGTGTTTTCCACCATGCTGTGCTGCCTCACCACAGGGCCAAGGCAATGGAGCCAGTCCATCATGGACTGAAACCTCCAAGACTGTAAGCCAAAATAAAGTTTTTATAAGTTGATTTATCCCAGATATTTATTTTAGTATTGGGAAGCTAACATGTGGAGTGTCCCCAAAGCCAAGGAAATGCAACATTTCAAGAAAGAGGGAGTGGTTAACAGCGTCAAATGTTGGCTGAGTGGTCAAGTATGGCAACAACAGAGGAGTCAATGACAATGGAGTCAGTGACATGAAAGAACACTGGTGGAACTGTTTTGGTAAAGCAATGGGGCAGGATTCCAAATGTAGTGGACTGAAGAGCTTTGACCAAATGAGGAGACAGACAGCAAATGGAGACCGAATGAAGTGATGTATAATTAAGATATCAGTAAACACTTAAGATAGCCTGCCTTGCAAGGGATTTTTGTGATTATTCCTAATATGGATCCCTTTTTTCATGTGACTTTTTTCTTTCATAGACCACCTGCAATCTTCACTACAATTGGAAGAAAAATGGCCAAGCCGTCTCCAGCCAGCTAAGCATTCAGGCAAGGAAGACCAGCTGAGAGGGAAGACGAGCGAGTGGGCAGCCAGCCCTTCCAAGCACCTGTCTGGGAGCACCAAGGAGAGACAGAAGAGTATCTGAAAACCAAAAGCCCAGATGTCTCAACTAACAGCTGGTCAGTTGTACAAAGGACTTCTGTCATTCATATTTCACCTAGCTCCTAAGGACAAAAGCAGACAGGCAAGAGACAGATACTGAACAGTCACTGTATGCAGAACACTGCTGGACACAGTGGATGGAAGGACTGAGACGCATATGAACTAACAGGAGGACCTTTTATAAAAGCACGTCCACATGTGCAGTGTGTGGATCAACACTAATGATTCTCACTTACTGAGTACTAAGAGTACCAAAATTTATAAATTTGATGCAGTCCCTATCAAAATCTCAACAGGCAATGACCTCAGTGGTTCTACCACCTGCCTCGCAAGCACAAGGTCTGGAGTTCGATCCCTGGTACCAAAAAAAAAAAAAAAACCCAAACAAAAAACCTTAAAATCTCAACAGGCTATTTTGAAGAAATATAGAAGAAAATTTGAAAATGTGTATCAGAAAGCAAAGGCTCTAGAACAGTCAAAGCAATGTTCAAAAAGAATACAGTTGGAGTAGCCAGGCATGGTGGTGGATGCCTGTAATTCTACTACTCAACAGGAGGATCACTGTGAGTTCGAGGCCAGCCTGGGCTACAGAGTGAGTTCAAGACCAGCACAGAATACATAATGAGACTCTGTCTCAAAAACCAAAAATAAACAAACAAACAAACACACACACACAGTTGGAAGATTTAGACTATGTGGTATCAAGACTTACTAGAAAGCTACAATAAACCAGACAGTGTGGTGCTGGTGTGGGAATAGACAAATAGAACAATGGAACAAAATAGAGTTCAGAAAACAGATTCACACATATATAGTTAACTGATTTTCTACAAAAGTGCTGCCTCAAGGGAAAGGAACAGCTTCTCAATAGAGGCTCCTGGAATACCTGGAAAGCCATTTGGGAAAAAAAAATGAATGTTGAACCCTATATGACTTAATTCGAAATTAGTTTGAGAATGGATCATGGATTTAACCTTAAAACTCAGAATCATAAAGCCTCTAAAAAAAAAATTCAGTATCTTTATAATCTATGGGTAGATGAAGATTACTTGGGCAAGATGCAAAAAGAAAATATTGATAAAATGGCTTCATTTTAAATTTAAAATTTCTGTTTATCAGAAAACACTATTAAGAAAATAGGTAGATAAGCTACAAAACTGGAGAAAAAAACTCTTCACAGCCATAAATCTGACAAGGAACTTAGATCCAAAATATGTAAAGATTTCTTATAAATCAACAAAAATATAAACAAACCAATTACAAAACAGCCAAGATTTTAATAGACATTTAATAAGATGTTCGAATGAATAAACACATTAAAAACAATAATAATAATTTAACAGTAATGATCATTTTATTATTTCTCACAGTTTCTATGGGTTCAGAATTCAGAAAAGGGTGACTGGCCTAGGGATCACTACTGCTGTTGCAGTCATACTATACCTGGAAGTGGAAAAGTAGTAGGAGCTGGGGAAGCTGAGCCAGTGGTCTCCTCCCCCGCATAACCTCAGAGTCTCTCCATGTGGTCTAGTTTGGGCTTCCTCACAGCATACCAGCCTCAGAGTCTTCACACTTTTTTCCAAGAGGCTCAGGATCCCTGGAGCAAGTCATCAGCTAACAAGGTGGATGGATGTGCACTACCATTTATGACCTAGCCTAAGAAGTCAGTGTTCCACTGGAGGTGTAGCTCAGCGGGAGAGCACTTGCCTAGTGAGACCCTGGGTTTGATTCCCAGCAGAAATCAAAACAAAGCAAAGCAAAAAGTAGATGCTAAAAGGTATATACCTTGCTGTGTTAAAAAAAAAAAAAAGTCACACAGTGTCACTTCTGCCACATACTATGGGAGACCCAGTATACAAGTCAACAAACACTTCCAGGTGGAAGGGGAATTAGTCTCTGTATCTTGCTGTGGGAATAACAAGATTCTAGAAGAGCTTGTGGGATGAGAGATATTATTGCAGATCTGTTTAGATAATACAATCTGTGGTAGACAAACCTGGAAAGAAAAGCAGGCAAGAGATCATACCAGGCCTTCTAAGCCACACTAATTAAGTTTAGTCTACGGCCGGGGATTTAGCTCAGGGGTTCTGCCACCCATCTCGAAAGCGCAAGGTCCTGAGTTCAATCCCCGGTACCAAAAAAAAAAAAAAAGTTTAGTCTTGATAGATATGGTGATGAGGGACCACTGGGTGGTTTGGTTTTGTTTTATCACTGAAAGGTTTTAAGGGAGAGTGAACTAATTAATTTTTTTTTTTTGTTTCTTTCTCCCTTTCTGTCCTTCCTTCTCTCATTTTCTCTTCTCTCTCTTCTTCTCTCCCCTCCTCACTCTTTTTCTGTCTAAGAAACTGGGTCTCCCTATATTGCACTAGGCTGGCCTTGAATCTGGTCTCGAGCAATCTCCTTTTCTCAGCTTCCAGAACAACCAGGACCACAAGCATGCACCACTATACCAGACGCTTCCAATTGTCTTTAAAAGTTCTTCTAGAGGCTGTGTGGATAAAGAATTTGTGGGAAGGTTATGAAAAGGGTATATGAAAGCAAAGAGACCATTTAAGAGGGGGGACCAAGTTCAAGTGACAGACATGGCGCTCAGCCTTAGCCTGCTGTGTTCACTGAAAGGAAACAGTGGAGAAGTTTGAGTTGAGTATGTTGGCCTTAGAGTCCAGGGTGAACATGAGACTGGAACTCCCATGACAAAGTTAAGTAAGAATAAATATCATTTTAGAAGGCACAAGGATGGACCAGAGGTGTCAGTCCCAGGATGAAGAATCTCTTACCTCCTCTCGCCCACAGGGTCGGCCGCCTGGGCCAAGGCCGCAGAGTGAAACACGCATGCGCACACCTTTGTCCGCGGGCGGCACCTGGCGGCAGCTTGTTAACGGTGCACGCGCGGTGTGGGGCAGTCGCCATGGAGACGCGTGGCCCCATCCGGGAAGTCGGCGCCGGGAGCTAGCCTGGGAGCTGCGTGGTCCTGCCCTGCCCGGTCGTAGGTCGCGATCCCGCGGGCAGATGGACCATGGCTGTGGGGCCGGGGCTGCGAGATACCTCGAAGAGGGAGAGGACGACGAGGAGGAGAAGGAGAGAGAGGGCAGCGCTGCGGGTTTGCTGGGGTCCAAGCTGCCCCCCATCGCCGGTGACCCCTTAGAGCTAGCCAGACGAAAGGCGAAGAGGAAAAAGAAGAAGACAAAAGGGTCAGGCAAGGGAGACGGTAAGAGGAGCAGCTGGTGATCTGAGATTCCTCTCTGAGGACACCCTCTGAGAGATGCCCCTCTCTCTGGAAACCACTTCAGACCAGGAACAGAAACACGCATCCCAGACAGGAGCCCCTAAACACACACGCCACTTGTGGCAGCACCGTGATGCTCAGCATTTACATTTAAAGACTGCTGTGCCCACAGAGACCCTCTGGCCCAAACTCACAATCCCAACCCCTACACCCTCCCCGAAGCCCCTGTAGAGAAACCCTCTCACAGAGAGCCTTCCCTTGACCCAAGACACTGCCTGACCATCATATACAGAAATGCAGACTCATGCCCCCCTGAGATCTCCTCCTCACTCCCTCCTGTGTTGAGGTACTTGCCTCTGAATGCTGTGTAGACACCCACACTCAGTAAATTCATATAAAGGATCCTCTCTGCACAAAGGATTCCCTACCCCACTCATCCTCCAAGGGGCAGGCTTGGCCTGCACACACACCATCATGCTGGTCACTGACACATCCTCTCATAATCTCTGAAACCCTTCACAACCCCCCCCCCCCGTATCAATATGACACCATCCAACAGAACTGAAGCACAACGAGGGCTACACACATTCAAGATACTGTGACACACACATAGACCCCCAAAAAGTTCCTGTATAATACAATCGTACCCACGCAGGTTCTCAGTCTCTCATGCTCACCTTCAGATCTATACACAGCAACACCTGCTGCAAACCCAGAGTCCTTTCACCTTAAAACCTTCTTGCAAGACTCACAGATTTCTCAAGAACAGCACTGGGTATCCCCTTTGAGAAGAGAGTGCAGCAGTGACATGGAATGCAATTGCCTGTGAGTGCTGAGTCCATTGTCACATGTATGGTCTACCCCAGTGGCTTTGGCTGTCAGGGAAATGGCCCTGACCTTCAATGTGGCTGGTCCTGGCCTCAAATTTCTGGGCTCTTTGCAGAGCTGGAGGCTGAAGGAGTAGCAGCCTTCCCTATGTCAGCCCGGTAGTTAGGAAAGAGAGTAATGGGAAGATTATAATTACTCTTAGCGTGAAATCATAATAGGCAAAAACAAAAACAAAACAATTCTAGAGTATGGGGCAAAAAAGCTCTCTGTAGCCAGGCGAGGTGGCACACCCCTGTAATCCCAGAATTTGGAAGGCTGAAGCAGGAGGATCTCCATGAGTTCAAGGCCAATCTGAGCTACATAGTGCGTTCAAGGCCAGACTGCATTACAAAGTGAGACCTTGTCTCAAAACAAAACAAACAAAAACCCTTCTGTGTATCTACAAAGCAAAATCGGAACTCTTTTGTCTCCAGGGCTTCCTAACTGAGCTACATCCTGAGCTCTTTTTAATTTTTATTTTGAGACAAGTTTTCACTAAATCACTAAGTTGCTGAGGCTGGGCTTGAACTTCCAGTCCTCCTGCCTCAGTTTCCCAGAGTTCTGGGACTACAGGCAAGCATCACCAGACCCAGCTTGGTGTTTTTGACTGTAGAAATTACAGTGGCATATACCTCATACTGTCAGCAGGGGACACCAAATCATTTTCAGAGACTAGGAAGCTAAGGAAATGTCAAAATAGGATTTATTCCCCTTTCTTTTTCTTTCTTTCTTCCTTCCTTCCTTTCTTTCTTTCTTTTTTTTTTGGTACTGGGAATCAAACTCTGGACCTTGCGCTTGTGAGGCAGGCAGTGGAACCACTGAGCTAAATCCCCGGCGCCCCCTTATTTTCTTTTTGTGGCTTCTGTCCTCCACTCTACCTCCCAAGATTTTCTCCCCTCAATGGAATGAGCTGTCAGATGAACCACAACTTGTAGTGTTTTATATGTAGCAATATAATTCTGAAATGCTATTAATGCAAAGGAAGGAAGGAAAGAAGGAAGGAAGGAAGGAAGGAAGGAAAGGATGGAGGGAAGGAAAGACACACCAGCCACACAGCTAAAGTATTTCCTAGTGTGGCATAATACTCCTTTCATTAGTCAAGTTTAGGAAGCTTTTCTGTTGTTCTCTGGTTCTTCCATCATAAAGGGATTTAGCTCAGTGGTGCTGCTGCCTGCCGCGAAAGTGCAAGGTTCTAAGTTTGATCCCTGGTACCCCCCCAAAAAGAGCTGAGATTGGTGGTAGTCAGAGACTTGTAGGCCTGGAAAGTACTTTGGTCAGCATATGTCAAGGTTGAATGGGAGGCAGTGGGGCATAGTGGAAAGAACAGGGCACCAGGAGCCAGGCCTGCCTTTGAATCTGGCTCTGCCACTTGCTCTATGACATTGGGAGGTTAGCAAATCTCTTGTGGCCTCAGGTTCCTCACCTGGAGAGCAGGGCTGATAGCCTCTATCCAGACGGCCTGCTCAGGGTATGTGCTCAAACTGTAGGGCCTGGGCTAGGGTTGTGGCTCAATGGCAGAGCATGTGCTAAGAGGCCCTGGGTTCAATCCCCAGCACCACAAAAAGAAAAAGAAAGAAGGTTCCTCCTTCCTCAAAATGACTTGACCAGAAACACAGAGGCAGCGGGTAAACACGAGGGCAGTGGGTAGGGTGGTCTGATCCCTGGGTAAAGAGAGGCCCCCAACTCCTTTTATCTTTGGTGATTTGGGCATCACCCCAGGCGGGCTGAGGGCGGACATGGCCACAGCAGTAACCCCTTCATTTGCTCAGCAGATAAACATCAAAGTCGAAGCCTAAAGCGTCAGCCATTTTCTTCATCTTTCCAAGACATCAGTAGTTCCAGCAAAGACCACGGCCTGAGGCCAGAGCCCAAACAAGACAAGGACAGTCACAAGCACATCTTTGCCTCTGCCTGCACCACAAGCCTCCCCCACTTGGCTGAAGTAGAAGAGAAACTATCAAACCAGATCAACGAAAGTCTGCGTTGGGATGGAATTCTCGTTGACCCGGAAGCAGAAAAAGAAAGGATTCGCATATACAAACTGAACCGGAGGAAGCGATACCAGAACTTGACCCTCAAGGGCTTCCACTCCGATCCGTGCAGTCAGGGGAGCCCTGAGAGCTCACCCCATCATCTCCCAGACAAAGACTGCTGCCCTAAAAGGAGGCAGCCCACTGACCACGCACCCTCACCACTGCTCTGAGGAAAAACCCTGAGGCAAAGCTCCTGCACTCTGATTTACCTCCTGCTCTGACAGAGTGAAGTCTACCCACAGTGCTGACAAGCTCACCCTTTCTCCTTGCCACAAGTTTATGTGTTAAAAAAGAATAATAAAAGGAAACCAGAGCTGTATCTGAAGGAAGCAGACGTCTGGTGTACACATGAGGCCAACCTCTCCTGCACTGAGATGCCCTTAAGTGCTCAGGAGAGTCCCATTCCTTAAGAAACCAGCAACTTCATGAACACAGTGCTTCGCACAACTGTCTTTTTTCTGAAATATGCTAGTGTCTCTCTTTGTTATTTAAGTTCTCATCACAGACAGATCTCTGTATAATCTGCCCCTGAAAAAAAAAAAGTGTGTGGACTATTTAAATTCTAAGACTGAAACTAATTTCATGGATACAGCTTGCATAATACATGCATCTGTTAGGCCCAAGAAAATGCCCTGAATATTCTGGAGACTTTTTCTTAATTACACTGTTTATCCTTATGTGGCTTGCAAAATCAGTAGGTTCAAGAACTTCATCCTTGGGAGGTTATTATGGGAAGTCCAAAGAGGACTTTTATAAATATAGTCCTCCCCTAATCCCTCAGGCAGCATTTTAAGCAACTTTTGGGAGCATTAAAGATGCCTTACTATACTGCTTTTCCTAAATTTATATTCCCCTTTCTACACATAGAGAGGCCTTGTCATCTTGGTTTTGCATCCAGAAGTAGACCCGAGGCAAGCACTCAAATGCAAGGAGATTTTTTGGGAGGTAAAGGGAAGAACGGAGGAAGGAGAGACAGCCAGCTAGGGGACAGTAAGTATTAAGCCACCCTTCTTGCTGGGCAGCTGGAGTTTGATCCCACAGGATGCACTGGGAAACAATTCAGGCCCAAATCTCAAAACAGTGGCACCTGAGGTGAGTATGTAAGGGCTGGGTACTGACACTCCCCAGGGTGTGTCTTGGCCAATGGTGATAATTTTCTGGCATTTCTAGCCTGCCACCCTGTGAGGGCCTGGAAGGCTACTTCAGCTATGGGGGAAGTCATCCGTACCACAAAAATGCAGCCCGATAAGTCCGGAGGGGAAAAGTGGTCTCTGGGTTAGCATCAGTTACCTTTGAGGGTCAGGGTGGAGGTCTAAAATGAGGTCCCTGGCTCCCCAGGGGTAAAGATGTTCTTGGATAGGTGGGACACACTGTCCCTGGGAGAAATTAAAAGCCAATACAGATCGACATAATGCTTGTCTGGAAGCTAAGTGGAAGTAGCCCCTCTTATCTGCCACCCCATGGCTAACAGATCAGCCCTCCTTTTACCTTTCCTTAAAAAGGCCTGTTGCAGAGTTCCCACATTTTGCCATTGAGCCCTGGCAAAATATCTTGCAGGGACTTTTGACAGAGTCCTCTCCTTCCCTGGAGAATGGTTAGCAGTCAGGTCTGGCAGGGACCCTGAAGCAGAGCAGAGCAACGAGCAGCTGGGCTGGCATCTGAGATGCCTCCGGAGCAACTGTAGTGGCTGGAGGCTCTGAGCATGCACTGGGTTCAGAGTGCCTTGGGAGCTTAGCAAAATCCTCTGTGGGTACTGAGGGATGGTTCATGGTGCTCGTCTTGCCATGAAGAGAAGTGTTATTGTGGGTTAGTGGTTAACAGTATGAGTGCTAACATCAGAGCTGACTTTCTGTCTTTCCTATTACATGCTAGCCCTGTGAACTCAGGAAAATTGATTAACCTCTCTGAGCCTTAGTTTCCTCATCAGAAAATAGGGATGCAGCTAGCTACCTTCGTGTTGTGAGGGCCACATGCAGCAGTGATTACATAAAGCATTGAGCATAGCACCTGGCACCTAGAAAGCCCTCCATGGACTGTGAGAGCTTTGGCCAATGATGTTTTAGGCTGGCTCAGCTGCATAGCCACTGGAGAGGCTGCCTGGGTGCTGGCACAGACCTCACCTCATCAAAAGGTGAGCTTCACAGAAGAAATGTGGCTTCAGTGCCTGACCAGCAGATGCCATTCACACAAACCACAGGGCAGGTGACAGGGGTCTGGAACAAGAGAGACTAGAGAAGGAATGAAGCAAGGGTCCAGAAGACTAGTGTTCTGGGCAGGGGCTTTGGGCCAGACAGGAAAGTGTCCAGTTGGAGCCTGTGCTTAACACAGAGGAGACTGGGGGTGAAACTCAGGGGTAGAGCACTTGCCTACCATGCGCAGGGCCCAGGGTTTGATCCGAAGCCAGAAAGGGGGGGAAAGGGGGACACAAATATCAGAAACCGGTGGGGATTAATCCTCCCATGGGCACAAAAGCTACTCCAACTCAAACCACCCAGGGTCCAAATCTCTTTCTCACACTCAGGTTGTATCTGTGAGGACTCCTGCAGTGGCAGGGAACAGAAAACACAATGAAAACTGGCTTATAGATAGACAAAGGGACATGACTGACTTAGAAAACCAACAATTTGTGCCTGGCCGTGGCTTCAGGTATGGCTAGTCCAGGAGGTCACAATATAACATCAAAATTCATTTCTCTGCACATCTCACCCCTGCTGCCTCTATATTAGCTCCGAGTTCAGCCAAGTTCTCATCACAGCATGGCAGAGTGGCTACTGACATCCTTATAGCTCTGCAAAGAAAAGAAAGCTGCTCCTATGTCCCTATCCAGGGTCCCTGTCAGTACCAGAGAAGGTCTTGGGCCTGGCGAGGGTCATATGCTCAACACTGGACCAATCAGTGGTCAAGTCAATGAGTGTTTGATGGCAGAAAAGGCTGGATTCTGGGGAAATGGGACGGGGCAACCCCACCAGATGCACGATCAGAACAGGTCATTGTAGAATCTGTATAGAACCTATGCAAAGCAACTCCCAGAGTGATCCCAAGCCTTGTTCATTGCCCTCCAAATATCTTAACCTTTTTAATTTATTTTTTTGGTACCGGGCATTGAACTCAGGTCCTTGTGCTTGTGAGGCAGGTGGTGGAACCACTGAGCTAAATCCCTGGCCCTGCTCTCCAAATAAATAGTGATCGTTTCTTGTTTCTGTTTTTTTGAGACAAGATCTCACTGTGTAGCCCAGAATGGCCTCCAATTTGCAATCTTCCTACCTCAACCTCCCAAGTGCTGGCACTACAGGCATATGCTAAGAATGATTCTTTTTTTTTTTTTCTGGTACTGGGAATTGAACTCAGGACCTTACACTTTTGAGGCAGGCACGGTGCCACTGAGCTAAATCCCCAGCCCGAATGATTGGTTTTTTAAAAGGTTTGATCAAGGGTCAAGGGAGTGGCTTGCATAGCATGTTCATCTCAAGTGATCTGTACTGACTACATCCTTATCACCAGAGCTACTGACCCTTGGCCAATGCCAGGGCATGTATTCACCATAGACAAACAATATCCTGCAATCTTGAGTCCAAGAGTTGTTTGGGAACAGAAGGTGGAGCACAAGGAATTTTTAGGGCACTGAAACTATTCTGAATGATACTATTGATGGATACATATTATATATTTGTTCAAATTCAATAGAATACCAGAAGTGAACCCTAATGTAAACTGTGGACTACAGTTAATAATAATGTACCGATATCTAATCAATTGTAACAAAAAGACCACATACATGCAAGATGTCAATAATAGGGGAAATTGGGACTTGTTATGGGGGTTTATGGGAAATCTTTGTACTTTCTATTCACTTTTTATCTAAAACTGCTCCCCAAAATAAAGTTTATTGCTGGATGTGGTGGTACACACCTGTTAGCTACTTGAGAGGCTGAGCCAGGATGATCCCAAGTTCAAGGCCAGTCTGGACAACTTAGCAAGACTGTGTTTCAAAATAAAATATTAAAAGGACTGGGGCTATAGCTTGGTGGTAGAGTGCTTGGTTTGCATGCTTAAAGCCCTGGGTTCAATCCCCAGTGCTACAAAGAAAAACTAATCTATTGAAGAGAACAAGAGTCACACTGGCTTCAGTGTGGCACATACTATTTCCCTCCCTGAATCTCAGGGCTCTCGCTTTTCCATGTTGCAGGCCACCTAAGGAGAGGCCCAAGTGGCAAGGAACTGATGTTTCTAGCCAACAGCAGCAAGGACTTGAGTCCCATTGCCAGCTGCACAAGTGACCTTGGGAGCAGGTCCACCGCCAGTGATGCCTAAAGATGCTGCGGCTCTGGGTGATGCCTCAGTTACAGCTTTGTGTGAGTTCGGGAGCCAGAGGCAGCCAGTCAAGCTGCACCTGGGTTCTGACCCACAGAAACTGTTTGAGAACACAGCAGAGTTTTTTGTTTGGTTTGGTTTGGTACCAGGGATTGAACTCAGGACCTTGTGCTTGTGAGGTAGGCGTGGTGCCACTGAGCTAAATCCCTGGCCCAGCAGAGTTTTTTTGTTTGTTTGTTTTTGTTTTGTTTTGAGACATGTTCTCAGTATATGTGGCCCAGTCTGGCCTCCACCTCCTCCTGGCTCAAGTGATTCTCCTGCTGCAGCCTCCTGAGTAGCTGGGACTACAGGTGTACAATATCATGGCCTGGTTTAATAAAGTTATTTTAAGCTACTAAATTTGGGGACTATTTTGTTCCACAGCAGTAGCCAGCTGAAATAGTTGGTATCCTCCTTCATTATCAGCTGTGCATTAAGCTAGCTGCTTCAGTCTCATCTGAGGGCTGGAAAACCCCACACTCAAGCTTGTCATACAAGCAGTAATTCATCTGGGCACTATAGACACCATTACTGATGCTCAGAGGACTTTGTTTTTTTCTCTTCAGTACTGGGGATCAAGCCCAGGGAATGCTCTACCACTGAGCTACATCCCAGCCCTTTATTTTATTTTTATTTTTATTTTTTAATTTTGAGATTGGGTCTCATTAAATTACCCAGGCTGAACTTGAACTCGTGATCCTCCTACCTCAGCCTCCTGAAGAATTGGGATTACAGGGGGCCAGTGCACCAGTGTGCCTACCTTGAGGACTTTTAAATTTATTTCCAAAAAGCACCGATATATCTTACAGGGTGGAGGTCATTGCTGGGTGAGTTAAGAGCTAAATACAGTAACATTGATGGGGCCTGTTAACTTCCTTGTGTTTGTTAATTATGTGTCAGTAAAACTGGGGAGGAAAAAAGACTGATGGTCCCTACTAGTTAGGCTCATTCTAGGAGTTGTGCATAGCTATTTGTATTGTTTTCCTGGTATGTGTTTTTTGTGGCTTTTTTTTTTTTTGGAACGGGGCATTGAACTCTGGCCCTTGTGCTTGAGAGGCAGGCGGTGGAACAACTGAGCTAAATCCCCAGCCCTCTGGTATGTGTTTTTTGTTGTTGTTGGTTTTTTGTTTTTTGTTTTTGGTCCTGTCTCCACCTTAATTGTAATTGTAATATTTAATGGCATCTTAATGTTTTCAAATTCTTTCACATTTGTTCCCTGAGTGGTGGAAGGTATTATCTCCATTTTACAATTGAGGCTTAGAGAGAAGAGGAGACTTGCTCCATTCACACAACTTGTAAGAGATTTTTGTTTTGTTTTGTTTTAGACAAGTTCTCACTATATAGTTCAGACTGGCCTTGAACTCATGGTGATTCTCCTGCCTCACCCTCCTGAATTCTGGAATTACAGACTTGTGCCACCATGTCCAGCACACTTCATTTTGGCTTTTTTCTTGTTTTAATTTCCATTTAAAATTTCCCCCCTTTGGTACTGGGAATGGAACCCATGGCCTTTGCACTGAGCTATATCCCTGGCCTCTTTTTATTTTTTATTTTGAGGCAAGGACTTGCTACATCACTAGGTTGTCCAGACTGGGCTTGAACTTGCAATCATCCTTCCTCAGCCTTCCAGAGTGCTGGGATTACAGGGATGAGCCACCATATTCTGTTTGAGATTTTGATCTAAGGTCTCCAATGCTCCTTTCAGGAAATGTTTATTAGCAACTTCCTAAATACTCAGTTCTCTAGTTGCTATCACCATACTGATAAGAGCAGTTCCCATTGCACACAGGAGACCTATACAGACTGGGAATGGGCCTTGCTCAGGGTCACATGGGGACCAAGAGGAGGAATTGGAATATCAAACCCCAGTATGGCTTGGTCTAGACATCTTGCTCCTGCTTACTGCACTAGTGCCTTAGATGGGCTCCCTAAGTGGGCACTGCACACTCTCCAAACTCAACAGCAAAGTGAGTGAGATGAAGGCAGCAGGTGTGTTGGTGAGGCTGGAATGAAGGACCTGTACTCCCCAAGAAGGTCTTTTTTTTTTTTTAACTGGGGATTAAACCGAGGGCCCATGCACTGAGCTACATCCTTGGACATTTTTATTTTGTGACAGGACCTCACTAAGTTCCTAAACTGCCCAGGCTGGGCTTGAACTAGCCATTCTCCTGTTGTAGCCTTCCAGAGTGCTGAGGTTACAGACAAGGGCCATCACACCCAGCTGCAAGATATACTTTTTATTCTTCTTCCACGGCTGCCTCAAAGGCCTTGCAACCAGCACAGCTACAACAGGTGACGCAGGGCTGCTCTGGGTGACATTTGCTTTGGCTGCATGAGACTTCAGTCATAGATCTATCACAGACGACTCCTCCCCTCTGCAGCCCTTCTCAGTCAGGTCACTGAGGAGCCC